CCAGGGGGCCACCAAGGGGGGCCCCCCTGGGGGCCCCTCTACTGCTGCAGTACCCATTTTAAAGGGACGAGTCTTGAGGTCTCCGCCAGCTTATTTGTGCTCGAATACCACTTTGGTAATTTGTCCTCCTTTTTTGGCAAGACATTGGCAGGCCCAGTTGGCCCAGTGGTTTGGCTGGCAGCACCTCCCCAAGGCAGACCAAATGCGGGTACGCGCTGCTGCTGCTGCTGCTGCTGCTGCTGGGCGTGAGGCTGTTGCTGCTGCCGCTGCTTCTACTGCTGCTGGGGAGGATGGTGCTAGTGCGGCTGTTGAAGCTGCTTTTGGTGGTGGCAGCTGGGGTGGGAGTGTTGCTGCTGCTACTGCTGGCGCTGCTGCTGGTGCTGCTGCTTCTTTTGCTGCTGGCACTGCTGCTGTGGGGACTATGTTGCCTCTGTTGCTGCTGTGACCGTGGGGTTGGCGCTGGTGCTGCTGTTGCTGCTACAGCTGCTGCTGCTGCTGCTGCAACAGTTCGAGATCATCTAGCTGTTGCTGTGCGGTCTACTCCCCGCTGCTGCCGCTGATTCTGCGACTGCTGCAGCAGCAGCAGCTGCTGCTACTGCTGCTGCTGCTTCATGGGCGCGCACGTGGGGTGCGTTGGTGCTGCAGGTGCTGGTGTTTGAGCGTGCTGCGGAGCTTGCTGCTGTTTCGCGCTTCGAAGTTGCTGCTAGTGATGTGGTGGTGGTGACAACAAATGTGTTGACGAAGGAGTTTAGCAGGTGTTTGGCGAATCCTTTGGAGACTCCGGAGCAGCAGCAGCAGCTGCAGCAGCAGCTGCAGCAGCAGCAGCAGCGGCGCAGGCGTGGCGACCTGTTCCTCACGGGCGCAGCAGCAGAGCAGCGCTTCTGGGACCAGTTTATTGCCCACGGGGAGCCCGCCGCAGCAGCAGCAGCAGCAGCAGCAGCAGACCCCGAGGAGCCGAGCTTGCTGCAGCGGCTGGCGACGACGATGCCGCGGGAGCAGCAGCAGCAGCTGGTGTCTTTGCTGCGGCGGCGCAGCCGCCAGCCGCGGAGCGCGGCCGGCAGCTGCAGCAGCAGCAGCAGCAGCAGCAGCAGCAGCAGCAACGGACTACTCTGCGCAAAGTCCCCGCTGCTCGGAGTCCACTTCGCACGAATTGCTGTTGATGAGGGCCACCGCCTTATCCACAGCGGCAGCTTGCACGTGCAGCTCGCCTGCGCGCTCAAGGCCGACAAACGGTAAACCCTAAACCCTAAACCCTAAACCCTAAACCCTAAATCCTGGAGGCGAAACCCTAGTGGCGTATGCCTGCATTTTGAGTGTTAAGTATAGAGCTGGGTTGTAAGCCGCACCGGGTGTTCAGTCTTGATCTGCTGTTGGAGATTATTCAACATAACTCTGCCTTGTAAACCCTAAACCCTAAACCCTAGGCCCTAAACCCTAAACCGTAAACCCTAAATCCTGAACTCTAAAGCCTAGAGCGCAAACCGCAGAGGTTCATACTTAGTCCGTTGCTGTCGACCCGTGGCCCTACGTGCTTAACTCTGATCTGTAGCTTCTAAACCCTTAACCCTAAACCCTAAAATGTGGTTTAAGGGAGACAGCTAGTTCCTATGCAGCTCTTGTGCGCGGAGGCCTTTGTTTAGTCTTTTTGCTTTTGGAAAATAAAATTAAATAAAATAAGTGAAATAAGTAAAATAAATAAATGAAATAAAATATAATAAACAAAATAAATAAATAAATGAAATAAAATATAAGAACAAATTAGAAGTAAATGAATAAAAAGAAATGTAGTCAATGAAGAAAGTGGAGAGACGAAGGTATGTGAAATAATGAAATGGAAATGGAATAAAAAGCTGAAATAAATAAAAGGAAATTCGGCAAATATGTAAAATAGAATTAAAACTTAAAAAACTAAACTCCAAAAAAGAATCTAAACAAGAACACAGAAATATAACGAATGATGAACACAGGAGCACAATAAAGAAAGAAAGAAAATTAACGTTTATTGTTCTTGTCGCTGCTGCTGTTGTTTGCTGCTTGCTGCTGCTACTGCTGCTCCTCTTGCTACTTTTGCTGCTACCACTGCTGCCGTTGCTGCCGCTGCTGCCGCTGCTCCTGCTGCTGCTGCTGCTGCTGCTGCTGCTGCTGCAGGTGGGCGTTGACGGGCACTCCGACGGACCGGCTGTCTCTGGAGAAGGCCCTGGCGGGTTTGCGGGCCATTTGCGAATTTTTGCGTCACCCAATAACAAATAAACGCATTTTTACTGGTAATTTTTGAGAATAAAGCTCTAATTATATTCGAATAAGGACTTTAATGAGATAATTAGAATAAGAAAATCAAATTATCTTTTTGTTCTCTTTAAAATGGAGAAGAATTGAGAAAAGTTGATAGAGTTTTCATGAAAAAAACGAAAAGTGTGGTGGCGATAATACTTAAAAGGTAAAATGAAAGAAATAGCTTTGAATGCATTATTGCAAAGATTTCCCTTTTAGTAATAAGTGGCAGATAATAATATAATTAATACAATAATAATAATAATAATAGGAATGAATAATAATAATAATAATATTTATATGTATAAACCAATAGCCCGCAAGTCAAGCAGCCTAGGGTTTAGGGGTTTAGGGTTTAGGGTTCAGGGATTAGGGTTTAGGGTTTAGCGTTTAGGGTTTAGGTTTTAGGGTTAAGGGCTTATTAGGGTTAAGGGTTTAGGGTTTTGGTAATTGTTTAAGATCCAGGGATGATGAGCTGCCTCTGAGGGCCTGAAAATGACCGCGCGCGTGTCTCTTGCTGCCGCTGCTGCTGCTGCTGCTGCTGCTGCTGCTGCAGGGGGCCCCGGGGGGGGCCCCTCCCTGTTTCGGAGCAGCGTGGTGCGCGGGGTGAGCGAGTGGGGTTTGCTGTTTTGCCACTACCGGCTGCAGCAGCTGCTGGAGGGTTTGCTGGTGCGGCACACAAAAGGACTTTCTTTGTTTTTACCTCCTTTGAGGGGCCCCGTCGTTTATTCCATTAAAATGGGGGAAGACGAAAAAGCGACTTACAACGACCTCGTCGAACTCACCCGCAGGAACCTCTTCTGCACCTACTTCTCCCGCAGCAACCCCGTACACACCCTGCTGCTGCTGCTGCTGCTGCTAGTTATGCTGCTGCTGCTGCTGCTGCTACTAGTTATGCTGCTGCTGCTGCTGCTGCTGCTGCTAGTTATGCTGCTGCTGCTGCTGCTGCTAGTTATGCTGCTGCTGCTAGTGCTAGTGCTGCTGCCGGTTCTGCTGCTGCTGCTGCTGCTGCTGGTGCGCTGCACGGTGGGGTGGTGCATGGGCGAGGTTTGCTGCGCAGGACTCGCTGCTGCACTGCAGCAACCGGAGCAGCTGCAGCACGGTGCTGTGGAACCTGCGCTTCAGCTGCGCGCTGCGCTGCGAGGCCCACCTGCTGGTGCAGCGGAAGTGGGTGGAAGAAACTTTGCAAATGCTCGGCGACAAACACCCCAAGTACACAAACCCCTTTCCCTACGCCTTCCCCTTCCGCAGACTCGTCTTCGTCGCTGCAGTCAGTCCCCCGCTGCTGCTGCTGCTGCTGCTGCTGCTGCTGCTGAGGATGAGCATGAGGAGGGTTCTGTGAGGGCTGCTGCTGCTGCTGCTGCTGCTGCTGCTGAGGATGAGCATGAGGAGGGTTCTGTGAGGGCTGCTGCTGCTGCTGCTGCTGCTGCTGATGAGGATGAGCATGAGGAGGGTTCTGTGAGGGCTGCTGCTGCTGCTGCTGCTGCTGCTGAGGATGAGCATGAAGAGGGTTCTGTGAGGGCTGCTGCTGCTGCTGCTGCTGCTGCTGAGGATGAGCATGAAGAGGGTTCTGTGAGGGCTGCTGCTGCTGCTGCTGATGATGATGAGGATGAGGACGGTGATCTTGTGAGGGCTGCTGCTGCTGCTGATGGGAGGGCTGCTGCGGTGGTTGCTGCTGCTGTTGCTGCGAGGGCTGCTGCTGCTGCTGCTGCTGCGAGGGGTGCTGCTGGTGCTGGTGCTGTTGCTACTGTGGTGCTGCTGCTGGCCCAAGGGCTGCTGCTGGTGCTGGAGAGAGGGCTGTTGCTGCTGCGGGTTCGAGGTTTGCTGCTGCTGTTGCTGCTGCTGATGCTGCTGCTACGGGAAGTGTCGCTGCTGATGCTTTCGCTGCTGCTGCTGCTGCTGCAATTAATGGAAATATTTCGTTTCTCCAGTTAATTTGCCCCACAGCGAGCATGAGAGCTCGTTGGCCAGCTGCTGCCTTCCCAGCTACCGACAACTAGCACCAG